TACATACAAATATCTAAGTAAATGCTCTGTTTTATAATAAACAGTATTAACATTTACCGGCCTGAATGTCCGAGAAATTGTCATAGAAAATATGCGTCCTCCGACAGGAATCGAACCTGTGTCCTATACGGAATCGTCATATAGCCTGACGTGCTTTTACCGATTTCGCCACAGAGGGGCGTTCGGTTAGCAAGGTCGATTTTTCTGTTTTTATAAACTTAAAAATGTCTTAAAATAATTGCCGGACTTCAAAATGTGTGACGTCATTTTTTTTTTTTTACATTTGGATACGCATCGAGCAGATATGAATGTAAATAAAAGAATCATGGAAGATTGTTTTTTTTTTTTTTTAAATTATAAAAATACGTCAGGCTATATGACGGTTGCGTATAGGATACAGGTTCGATTCCTGTCGGGAGACAAATATTTTCTATGAAAATTTCTCTGACATTCAGCCCAGTAAATGTTGTTAATACTGTTTATTATAAACAGAGCATTTAAATAAATATTGGTATCTATAAAAGGAATGTATAAACATAAAGTTTTTTAAAATAATTGTCGGACTTTGTCCATTTCATTTTATATATATATATATATATATATATATATATATATATATATATATATATATATATATATACGCATGAGAAGAAGGACCCAATGTTCGTAGCATTTATTTTAAAAATAGTGCTCAATACAAAGTAGAGCAAAAATATTATTATAATATTTTTATTGAAATAATTTACATTAAAACATTTTACATCGCTACACAAAAATTTTCACGTTTCAATTCACGTTTACTTCTTCAGGCGATGAAAATTACCGTCTTAATATTGAAACATGAACATTTTTGTAGCGATGTAAAATGTTTTTATTGTAATTTATTATAATGAAAATATTATAATACACACACACACCCCCCATATATATATATATATATATATATATATATATATATATATATATATATATGAAGAAATATAGTTTTAAAGTGGGCTATATTTTGGGATAAATTGCTGAATATCAAGAATAGAGCGTATGTAAATATAAATATAAAAGTGAAGATTGAAGTCAACACTCCAGAAGCGACAGGCTGTTTCATGCTAGATACAATCGTCAGGCATGATGATTACGCTCAGCATGAAAAAGCCTATCGCGAGTATTGACTTCAATGTTCACTTTTATATTTTATATATATATATATATATATATATATATATATATATATATATATATATATGTGTGTGTGTGTGTGTGTGTGTGTGTACATATGTTATAGTGGAACACATCTATTCTATTGTTAATAGACTCTCCCACCTATAATAAGTAGGAGTAGTAATGAGTCAGTTGCTGAATAAGTTGGTAAGTCAGTCGATGCCGGACGACCGTTAGTCGGATACTAAAGTATCCACGACCACAACTAGATTTCTCTGCGTTATACTTATTATATGAAGTTCCTCCACTGTGATATCACTCTACAACAATATATATATATATATATATATATATATATATATATATATATATTGTTGTGACAACGTAAATGGTTAAGTAATAACAAAAACCAGCTTCACAGATATATCGTATATTAAAAGTAAGTACACCAGAAGAGTATTACACAACTAGTGAGATTGTATCGAATGAACTAGCGCTCAATTTATTCACTGTTCTCCGAAGGCTTCTCTCCTACTAAACTTATAGTAGGCTGAAGAATCTAACATAGAGGAAGGACACCGCAACATATATATATATATAATCGACTCTCCCGTCGCGTTCGACGTATGAGGGTCAGGCCGATAAGTCCCCAAGAAACCGACATCCCGACACCGGCACATGAGATTTGTTTATAGTGGTGAAGGCCTTGTGCAGAACCAGCCACACTTTTTGGAGGGACGAAGACAGAAACCTGGTGCACCGAATGCATGCCACAAGGTTCCCAAATGACCCTCCGCAGGTTTTGAATTCAGAGTTGTATATATATATATATATATATATATATATATACCATACCAACGGATTTATTACCTGTACTATACTATAATAATAAATATATATATATATATATATATATATATATATATATATATATATATATATAGTATAGTATAGTACAGGTAAAAATCCCTTGGTATATAACCCAATTGGATCCTACTACTATAAAATATGAAACTGATCCACAAAAACAGCTCAATTAACGGTCTGAGTGTTGACTTCAATGTTGACTTATATATTTACATACGCTCTATCTCTGACATTGAGCACTTTATCACATAAATATAGCACACTTTAAAACTATATATATATATATATATATATATATATATATATATTATAACAACTTTCAAATCCATCAGGTTAATCAGAAAACTCTAAAGGAAACTGGTTTAGGAATAATTTCAAAAGCCAGGCAGGAGTAAAGAAGAAAAGAAAATCGCAAAAAAAGATTTATTTTCTTTACTCGTGTACTGTAGTACTTTGATTTACTTACTGTTAAGGTTTGCCAGTGTTTTTCCTGCAGCGTTACAATATCGTACGTTTTCTTGGAGTAGACAATGGTCGTAGGGCAACTAATCTACAGTCAAGACAATAATGTCCGGGTGTGCTAAAAATCTGATGCAATCAAGGATGACGCAGTTTTTTTCAAGACCAAACAAATTTCTTCATACACCCTGAAAACAGATTCCTATTACTGTACACCACTGCAAATGAGCTAATCTGAGGAAAAATAAAAATCAATTAGACCCTGTCACTTCAGTGGGACTAAAACTGACCGTATGTTGAAAGAATGGAAACTAAAGCGTTTGTTACAATTAATTTGCACAAGGGTGTAGAAGAATTGATATTACATAACATTTCAGTATGCTTTTCGCTTCTTTTTTTTACGAAATTTTCCTGTTTCTTAATATTTTCTTAGCTTTTGGAAGGTATTTTCGCCATCAAAATTCGCCTTCGGTATTGCACTTTTCGTCTTCTCTTAAAACATTTCTCAACTAATTAAATTATTTTATTTGTTTGATTTGGGCCGATCAGAAATAATGTTGCCATTGTGACTTAAATCCCACCAAATCTTTTCACTAACAATTGGCTCTTGTAAATTAAAAAAAAAAAAAAACAAACCTTTAGATGATAAACAAATTTAAGGCCATTTTTTATTTTGAATTCCACCCGGAGTAAAATTCCACAAATAATATCCTTATAAAATATTTCCTCTTTAGATTAACTCTTTTCCCATTTGCATTTCAACGGTCCATTGTTCGATCAACAATACGGTTTTATGCAATAACGAATTGATACAGATTAGAACAGGTCGATTTTGGATCCGTGGTATTGCACTTTGGTCGGGAATTTTTTTCCAAATCGTTAACGCTTGTTAAAGAAACCAGTTTGAAGATAAGTTTTGGTTCAAAATAGTACCGTTGAAATCTCTTTCTGGTGATTAGCGAAAGCCGTTTGTGTTGCCAGACACGCTTCGTAATGTTGAGATGGCAAACGATTGGTTGGAGGAAAAATCAAAAGGAAGAGGAGGTCGATTTTAAAATCGTGGTATTGCACTCAATTTGAAAGTTGCGGCTTGACATGATAAATAACGACAAAATATATTTTTCCGTCTCGTTTTTTGAGGAAACAAGTTTGAAGATTTATTTTTAGGTTCAAAATCGTTGTATCGGTTTTTTATTTCGGTGTTAAATGAAAACCTTATAGCAACGCCTTATAAAATTTATAATTTTTTTATATAAATATTATATAAAATTTGAATTTTTTTGTATAAATATTATATGGACAAGATGCATGATAAAAACACATGATCATTCAGGCCTTCAGTAATGGTACCAACATTCATACTCTGACTTCCATCTTCAAAATCTATACAAGAACTACCAAGAGAACAGTGAATAAGTTTTAAAAAAAACAAAGAACAATAAAGAGGAAAACTGGATCAGGAGGTTACAACAAGAAGAGGGATCATCATTTCAACTTAGATCTAAGGTGATCAATTAGAAAAGATCCAACTCAGTCCATAAGTTGTTTGGAACGTGAGAGAGGAGTTTCGGCTATGACAATACAAAGAGCAGTGAAAATAGACTCGGAAATGAATTCGCACGTGAAATCTGTGAGGCACATTGTTACCCCAAGACAAAAAGATAGAAAGTTAGACAAGGCGAAGATCATCTTGAATAAGTTGGGAAATGATCCGAAATTATATAGATAGATAGATAGATAGATAGATAGATATTGACAATATATATATGGACATATATATATATATATATATATATATATATATATATATATATATATATTCCCCAAGAGGATAGAATCCAGTTAGGAAAATTTCCTAAAATTTTGATTGAAGATGAAACAGAGTTTGGTATTTTAATTCAATTTAATTCTAATAATTATATTGAAGTTTTTAGCTCTTGTTTTTGAAACATGAGAACTCTTATGTAGCGTAGAAATCATATTTTAAATAAATAATTATATTTAGCCTCTTCTTTTGCACTGTTTTTTAAAAATAAAAACAAAAATACTAAAGAACTTATTTACCTAACGAGTTCTTTTCCTATTTTCTATATATTTTCCCCACACACACTGATACACACACACAGACACACACACACACACACACACACACACACACACATATATATATATATATATATATATATATATATATATATATATATATATATATATATATATATATAATGGATAAAGGATGAAAAAAAGTGAAACCATTACTCTAAAAATGAAACTTCATGTCAGAATTTAAATAATTAAATACAGTAATTCCGTTTCGTCTTGTCATTTTTTATTCAATGAAATGCTATTTAATTCTAAACTGATTGTTAAAGCGTTAGTTTTATGGAATCCTGCCGCCAAATGTCCAGAGATTGGGGAGGAAATATGTGAGGAGTTACGGTAATTTGGGGTTCAATAATTATTAAGGCAATCATTTACTTTTTATATGATTTTCGTTCCTGCATTGCAAAATATCAATTATGATGCATAATGAATTGTTTGTATTTGAAAACTTGTTCTATTCTTCTTCTTTTTTTTTCTCTCTCTCAGAATATTTAATTTCATCTTTGTTCATATTATTTTCTATGATTGGCGGTTTCACGGCGCAATTATCGTCTGCCATATTTGAATTTCAGTTCTTCTCTCTATATTCGTTTGTAGAATTTTCTTTTCCTCCCCTTCTTTCTTCGCTTTATTATTCCTGTTTTATCTCTCCCCGCCCCTACGCTTTCTCTCCCTCTTTTTGCTTCCAATCTTTCTTCTTCCAATGCTCCTCTTATTATTTTTCTTTACTCCTTTTCCCATTCTTCGTTTTCAATTTTCTCCTCCTCCTCCTTCACTTTTTCATCTCTTTGTCTTTTCCCATTATTATTAATCTTCTCCATCTCTTTATAAATCATTCCCTCTTTTTTTCTTCTTTCAAATTCTTCTCCTTCTCTTTCTTTTTCTCTATCTCTTCCCTTACTCCTTATTTTTCTTCAGTTATTACCTTACTCTGTCCTCGACCGCATTCTTTTTATCCACCCACATTTACTATAACTACTCTTTCTTTCTCATCTCCTCCCACGTCTTATTCTTTCTTATTTCCCATTCCCCCTCTTATACTTATCTTTCTTCTTCTCCTCTACCTACCCCTACTCAACCTTCTCTTTGTTTCCTCCACCTTCCTTTGAATTTCATCTTCTTAACCGTACGCTTTTTTTTTTCACGTCTCCTTTCTCATCCCACTCCCCCTTGTTCTCGAATCCTCCTCCTTCTTGGTTTTATTTTAAAACATTTCACCCCAAGCAAGGTGACAATGCCACTAGGACGCAGGGGGTTACGAGGAGTGAAAGAGAATGAGAAGACTTTATTTGAGAGGAGTGAGAAAAAAAATAAAGGAACAGGAAGACAGAAGATGGTGATTTGACGTTACATTTAAGATTTTGAAGATTGTAGATGGCGGTTAAGCAAGAAATTGGGATGAACTTCCACAGGTGAGCAGTGCTAGAAAAGAATATAAACAACAGTAAGTTCAACAGTAAAACTGTGGGACCTAGTTGCCAATCTAGTAGCTCGCTTAAATTCATATAGACGGGTCTCGAGCCTCCCTTACTTCTTTTACTCTTCATCCGAATTCTCTCCTTCTACTACTACTCTTTTGTTCTTCTTTTTCACTCCTTCATTCTTCTTTTATTCCTCAAATATCTCCTCCACCTACTTCTTTTTCATCTTTATTTTCCTCCTCTTTCCATGCATCGTTGTTATTCCTCTTCCCTCTTCTCTTCTTCCTTTTGCGTCTTTATTTTCAAATGCCTCCATCTTCCTTTATCGCTTCGTGCTTGTCCACATCTTTTTTCTTTCTTTCTCTTCCTTCCTCTCTTAGTCATTTTGCCTCTCTTCATCCTTGTCCTCTTCCACCTCATCCTACTACTTCTCCTCATATCATTTACTTTATTACTTCCTTTCCTCTCTTTCTCCATCTCTCCTTCGAAATTGTTTTTATTTTCTTTTTTCTTCTTCACTTCTTTTATTCTCTTTCCATCCTCTTCATCTTACTTTTCCTTCCTTCTCTCATGTCTTCAGTTCTCTTTCTCCTGTTTTTTTCTCTTTCTCTTCCTTCTTCCTGTCTCCTTAGAATCTGTGTATTATCCATAATCCTCTTCCTTTCGTCGTTATGGAAACGTCAAGGGAGCGAAGGATTTTCATGTCTCTAATCTTTCAAAATGGGTTCAAAGTTATTTTATACTGCCTTCTACTGATTTTTGTTACAATTGTTATAAAGTGAACGGACTGTTCAACATTTTTCTATAGTCATGTTTATTATATGTATAAAGTTTTAGCCCCTGTCTGTTATCAAACCAAGGATTTTAGAAATAGATCCTCCAAATGTCTCCTCATCTTTCGGAAGATTACCCAGAATTCACTGCCATATAAAACGATTATTATTATAAAGCAACCCAGCGCTTTTTTTCTTTGTTCCTAACGATGTCTTCCTGTTTCTCGTTGTGCTAGGCTTTTGAATTGCCGTTTTCGTTAATCCAATGCATGCTCGGATTTCGGCATCACATTTTCCATCCTTTGTTGCAGGGAAAGACAGAAGATTAAAAAGCTCTGTTTGGTTTGGGGGGGGGAGAAAGGGGATGTAGAAGGTGATAACTTTCTCATGTGTTTAACGGCTATTTTAGTGGTATGGAAAACCGTCTTTAGTTTTAATCTTTTTATTTGTACCCTCTTACTTCTTTAAATAATGTCCTCATATCTCTGATTGTTATTGCAATATTGTTAATCAGTTTTGTTATGTTATTAAGGGTAAATATTTAACAGTGAAATAGGGGGATTTTCAATGGGTGTTTTATAGTCGGAGAATTCGCAAGGAGCCTATTTAATCATTAACTTTAGATGTAAGAATCATCAGAACCTAAAAATAGATAAAGCCTGAAATTTTCACGGGTATTACTAGTGATTATTATTTCCAGTTTGACCGATTTGCAGTCTCATAAATTTTTTGACCTGAAACCAGAAGTAAAGTAAATATACCGGAAGTGAATATACCGGAATGACAGGAAATTTTTCCTTCGAAAGTTATTGGAAACATTTTTCTGAGTATCTGAGTGATATTCAAGAGTCCAATGTTTTGTGTTTATGCTTTTATCAAACGTGATAACCATGTTTAAGAAATATAATTTTCTTCTTTTTCTTCTTCTTCTTCTTCTTCTTCTTCTTCTTCTTCTTCTTCTTCTTCTTCTTCTTCTTCTTGCCCTTTCCGTCTCTTAATCATGCTTCTTCTTCTTCTTCTTCTTCTTCTTCTTCTTCTTCTTCTTCTTCTCCCTTCTTCGTCTCCTCCTCTTCTTCCATTATCTTCATCTCCTCCTCCTCCTTCTTCTTCTTCTCTATCTTCTTCTTCTTCTTCTTCTTCTTCTTCATCTTGCCCTTTCTCTCTAATCTTCTTCTTCTTCCCTTCTCCTCTGCTTCTTCTTCTTCTTCTTTCTTTCTTCGTCCTCTTCTTCATTATCTTCATCTCCTCCTCCTCCTCCTTCTTCTTCTTCTTCTTCTTCTTCTTCTTCTTCTTCTTCTTCTTCTTCTCGCCCTTTCCGTCTCTTACTCCTGCTTTTTCTTCATCTTCTCCTCCTCTTTTTTTCTCCTCATCTTTCTTCTTCTTCTCCCCTTCTCCTCTGCTTCTTCTTCTTCTTCTTCTTCTTCTTCTTCTTCTCTATCTTCTTCTTCTTCTTCTCGCCCTTTCCGTCTCTTACTCCTGCTTTTTCTTCATCTTCTCCTCCTCTTTTTTCTCCTCCTCTTTCTTCTTCTTCTCCCCTTCTCCTCTGCTTCTTCTTCTTCTTCTTCTTCTTCTCCCTTCTTCGTCTCCTCCTCTTCTTCCATTATCTTTCTCCTCCTCCTTCTTCTTCTTCTCTCTCTCTTCTTCTTCTTCTTCTTCTTCTTCTTCTTCTTCTTCTTCTTCTTCTTCTTCTTCTTCTCGCCCTTTCCGTCTCTTACTCCTGCTTTTTCTTCATCTTCTCCTCCTCTTTTTTCTCCTCATCTTTTTTCTCCTCCTCTTTCTTCTTCTTCTCCCCCCTCCTCCTCCTCCTCCTCTTCTTCTTCTTCTTCTTCTCCTCCACCTCCTCTTCCTCTTTCTTTTCCTTCTTCCTCCCATTCTTCCTCTTGTTCTTATTATTATCATTGGGAGTAGCGCACTAACAAAGTGACGCGGAGACGAAACCCAATATACCCTGCATAACACAATTTGATAAGAGTTTTGTTGTTGTTATTATTATTATTAACACTTAAGAGTGCAATTTAAGAAAAGAAAAAAAAACAGTTTTTGACAATGTTAAACATTTCGACAGTATGCCTGTCTTCTTCAAGTCATATTTTAAAAAATATCTAGAAGTATAAAAACATAAATCTTCAAAAAATTGTAAGTTTTTATAAAAACGTTGCTTGAGCTGTGATTTAGTTGGATGCTGTCTCTAGATGTTAAGTGTAGCTGTCATCAACCGAGTGTAGGTTCCATCAAGCTAAAACTGCCAGAGTTTTAGTTAATGTCCAAGCAGTGGCACCATACATTAACAACGCCTCTACAGTGGTTCAAAAGTATCTCCACTTGAGGTTATCTGGTAGATCAGATTACATCCATTTTAATTAAGACGACCCAGGCTTTAGCTAGGCGAGTTTTCACATCCTTTTCAGTAGAATTTATCTCGCTCCCTATGTATGTAAATGATTCAACAGATTTTATTGGAACAGTTTGTATTGAGCCTTGCTGGTTGAAGCTTATGAATTCAGTTTGGAAGGCATTGACAAAGAGTCCAACATAGTCAGCAGGATTTTTAGATGATGTTCACAGTAATGAGGAAAGGTTACTAGTTTAGTTTTGAAAGTTATTGAATGCTACAATCGACTTTTCCCCAACCACTGAGCTGTTAGATCTAGGGACGATCAGCTGCCAGGCACTGGTTGTCTCGATTATCGGAGGTGCATCCATACACTGTGGTATTTTTTGCATAGATGTTTACTAATGATCTGAGAATTTCCCTAGACAGAAACAGGGTAGGGTTGAGGAGAGTACCTTGGTGTATGCATGCATAGATTTCATGGGTTTCAGAAGATTCGCCATTAAAGAGGACCTTCATTGATCTACCCGATGCCGGAAGTGAAGTAAATGTTTCTCCTAATTTTAGATGGGTGAAGGCGCCCGGTCCCGGGAATTTTAACCCTGTGGAAGCAACTTCCTCGATGTTGTTTTAATATCGATGCCAGTTTCACAGAGGTCGCCGGGATTGGGCAAAAATAGGTTTTGTCCTTGACCCATGAGTTTACGTATATGTATGGCGCTCCCCACATAAAAAAGACCTTGTGTCACATCTCGCCTTAGTGGGGAGTCCGAGGAAATATATCTAAAACTAATGAACCTCATTCACCCGACAGTTCAACGTATTTGGTATATACTTTAATCCTTCTAAAAAAACTTCTTATGTTTAGTGATTAAAATATTCTTCTGTGTGCCGTGTCCCTTTAAGGAATAGGCGATCATGACTCTCCACGACATCCTATACTGCGTACCCTCACCGTCTCTCCCAGTCCTTGTTCTGCCATCAATTTCCACAAGATGTTAAAGTTACTCTCCCTTTTCTCCTCTTGCCTTCAATACGTCCTGTGAGTGTCAAATTCTCTCAGCCTTCTCTCCTCATTATGTCAGAAATTTCGACTGTCTCTTTCTGATTCTAAGTACAGTTATGCTTTTCGTTCCTGTTATTCTTTAATAAAAGTGCCATTGCTACGATTTTTGGAGTCGTTCTGTTGGAAGAATTGCCTTACTAAATCTAGGTATTGAGTTGTGTACATAATACTTTTCATTACAGTGAGTAATTATCATTAAAATCTATGAAGTCAACCTGTTTAATAACCAGATCTTTTAGATTATGCTGCAAACAGGTGCTAAAAAACTCTCGCTTCAATCAAGAGGAATGACCTAAATCTACCCATCACAATATAGTAAAAGTTTATCCTTATTTTATATCGGAGAACTCACTAGATCCCGGAGATTCCCACACTGCAGCAGTACCTTCCTCACTGTAGTAAGAGACGAAGGGTTGGTGTAATATCGATGCCATCATGACAGTGGTCGTGGGCAAATAAAATATTTTTCTTAGCGCATATGTATATATATGTGTATGGCGCTCCCCACGTTAAAACGACCTTGTGTCACATCCCTCCTTAGTGTGTGTGTGGGGGGGGGGCTGGATAAAAATACCTAAAGCTATGATCCCTATTCACCCAACAGTTCAACGCATAGAATCTTTATAAGTTTTTCCCTCTTTTCGCAATTTAGCATCAATAATGCTGGCATTTTCCTTTATCCAGACACCACATGATATAAATGGACTCGTCATTATGTGATCGAAGACAAAAAAATTGTCCCACCGAATCTATATATTGAATTGTGAATATAACACTTTTCCTCTCATAGAGTATTTATCATTAAAATATATGAAGTCAACCTGTTTAATATCCAGAACTTTTAGATTACGTTACAAACAGGGTTTCTGAAAATCTCTCGACTCACTGAAGAGGAACGATCTAACTAGCAAAGTGAAGCAAAAATTTCTCCTTATTTTAGCAGAGAGAGCTTGCTCATTTCCTGAGACCAAACGCCGTGGCAGCACCCACCGTAAGAGACTAAGGATCGTAGTAATATCAATGCCAGCATAGCAGTGGTCGCAAGGACTGGACAAACATTTTTGTCCTTAGCTCATATATATACGTATGGGTATGGTGCTCCCCATGGTAAAACGACCTCGTGTCGCAACCTCCCTTAGTGGGGAGTCCGAGTTTTATTTTTTTATTATGCCTCTTGATTCCTTGGGAAAAATAGGCCATCTTCTCCAACGCACGCGGTTCCGAGCGATCCTCTTCAGCTCGGCCCATGTCGTGCCGGCTGCCTTCAACTCTACGTCAACACTTCTGCGCCAAGTCTGTTTTGGTCGACCCATTCTTCCCTTCCCTTTTGAATTCCAGTTTTTCAAGTCTGTTTTGGTCGACCCATTCTTCCCTTCCCTTTTGAATTCCAGTTTTTCAAGTCTGTTTTGGTCGACCCATTCTTCCCTTCCCTTTTGAATTCCAGTTTTTCAAGTCTGTTTTGGTCGATTCTTCCCTTCTTTTGAATTCCAGTTTTTTCAAGTCTGTTTTTCATTCTTCCTTCCCCAGTTTTCAAGTCTGTTTTGGTCGACCCATTCTTCCTTCCCTTTTGAATTCCAGTTTTTCAAGTCTGTTTTGGTCGACCCATTCTTCCTTCCCTTTTGAATTCAGTTTTTTCCAGTCTGTTTTTCGACCCATTCTTCCCTTCCTTTTTTTTTTTGAATTCCAGTTTTTCAAGTCTGTTTTGGTCGACCCATTCCTTTTGAATTCCAGTTTTTCAAGTCTAAAAAAATTCCAGTTTTTCAAGTCTGTTTTGGTCGACCCATTCTTCCCTTCCCTTTTGGTTTTTCAAGTCTGTTTTGGTCGACCCATTCTTCCCTTCCCTTTTGAATTCCAGTTTTTTAAGTCTGTTTTGGTCGACCCATTCTTCCCTTCCCTTTTGAATTCCAGTTTTTCAAGTCTGTTTTGGTCGACGCATTTTTCGCTTCCCTTTGTGGATTCCAGTTTTTTAAGTCTGTTTTGGTCGATCCATTTTTCTCTTCCCTTGTTGAATTCCAGTTTTTCAAGTCTGTTTTGGTCAATCCATTTTTTGCTTCCCTTTCTGGATTCCTAGTGACACTAAAAACAGGCTTGCGGAGTGTGTGGCCGATCCATTCCCATTTCCCTTTCTTGATGTCGGTTGGGGCTTGTTTGGTCCTGTCCAACAGTTGGTCTTTGGAGACCCCGCCACCTGATACTGATGATGTTCCTGAGGCATTGGTTGACTCAAGTTTGTCGGTGTTGGGCTTGGTTACCCGCCAGCTTTCTGGGCCGTAAAGTAGGACTGAATTAATGTTGATGTTGAAGATCCGGATCTTGTTGCAAAGTAAGAGAGCTGTTGATCTTCAGATTGGCCGCAGAGTGCTGAAAAGATGTCGAGCTTTGTTGATTCGGCACCTGATGTCTTCATCTGTTCCCACTCCCCATCTTTACTGACGTCATAATCAAATGCAATTTTCTACAAAGTGATGCATCTATATTTACCTATTATTCATTTTATCATGAAATAAGAATTTTAAGTTTTGGTTAATGATGTTTACCTGTTGGTTGATATATTTATTGCCAGTAATTTGCATATATTTACAATTTATAATAGCTTTACGTTCACCAAACTGGTATATGAATTATTGGTTACCTCTTTGCTCAAATTCTATCACGACGTCATAAACGTTTCTTTCGGGTTTGACGCACTTGAATATGAAATACTGGAATCATCGCTCTCCAATATGGTCCATATCGCAAAATACTAATGCCAGGGTTTGATGGAGGCCAAAATGACTTTTCAAAGAACCCACAGAAATGCTCCTGGCACTAACTCTACGCCAAATTGGTGTAGACACACTGGGTCTTGTTGTCTGTTGTTTTGGAAGGCCGAATAAATATTCCAAAGAAGAACTTGATAATTGTAAATGTTCTTCCATAGATGGATAGTTTGTACATCAAACAACTGTGAAGCACATATCAATGGTATTTGAGTACCATATAATGATTAGAGGGAATTAAATTATAGATATATTGCTTTAGTAAATCTTAGTCGGGATACTTTCCAATCTATCTCATAATAATGCTATTTCTAATGTGTTCCGATCATGTTTCCATCGAAAGACAGTCTATTGCGTCAATAATATCGATAGTCCATGAAATAAATTTCGAAGTAAAAGTCTGTAGAAAGCGAAAATAATTTTGTTACACGTCGTTTTCTTCCGTTTTTTACCCCTTTTTTAAATTTAATTTAATTTAATTTAATTATTAACTGTTCAATTTCATTCAATATTAAAAGAAATCCCGGTTCGGAAAGTGTCGTTTAAAATTTCAAAGTTCAGCTTTCCGTATAAGTTGCATTTCAACTGGAAATTGGAACTCTCGTGTTTATAACTTTTAATTAAAACTAAATGAACTTCCGACCTTTTTTAATTATATTTGTAATCAAGCTTTAATTATTTTACATTGTTGCCATGACTACCAGATTACCGTTTCTTGTTGTGAAGAAAGTGCTGAAGTTGAAAGATTTCT